ATGTCCAGAGATAAAATGTAAGCTACTCAAAAAGAACTTCCAAATCACCCTGTAAAAAGAAACTGCTGAGAGACAAGTTGCTGGTAAGGAGATGAAAGGGTTATGTTAAGCACTTACTGACCATATTTCTCTTTCACCAAGCCACATTATGCAACCTGTCAGGTGCAGAATACTTGCAGTTCCAAAGAGCAGAACAAGCATTGCAGATATGTACAGAGCAAATACCTTTATTGAAATGACATGCTAGAAAAACAAAGTAATTTTGCATGGAAGTCAGGATGTAGAGGGAACAGGTGGTAGATACAGATATTTTGGAAAGGAGCATGCAAGAAAAGAGATGTAATCTGCATTGTTACAGGGGTCAGTGGATATTTCCCTTCCTTATTTACACATATTTACTGAAAAGAGAGTGAGACCACATGGTAATACATTTTTAATCTTAAGTATTCCTGCAGGCAGGGCTGTGAGGAGCTGGAGACCGGCTGCAGTGTCACTGGAGCAGGAACTGGTAGTCCCAGGGGCTTGAAATGGCATCCTGACTTGTGGACAGCACAGGGTGAGCCCTGGGAAGGGGTCAGGGACCCCTAAAATAAACAAATGGTTTGCAATGGGTGCCAAACTTTTGGTTGGCTACATTTAAATGAGGCAATTCCCTGTAACAGATCTAGACTTACTGTGTCTAAAGGTTCAGGATGAAATTTATTGGTAGACATTCTCACTAGCTGATTTGGGAATCTTAAACTTTCTTAAGTGCTTGTGTTTTCTTTACCCTGGTCTTCTGTTACTTGGGTGATTTGTGCCAGGCATCTAGTAGCAGATGTCCTCTGCAGAGGGTTCTCCAGCAAAACGGCATTAAACACTTTACCCTTTTCAGCATCATCTGTTTAGCTCTTTCCTCCCTTCAACACAGCAGACCAAAGCTTTCTCAGCCTTCCTCTTACCATTAGTGCAATTACAGAAGGATTTCCTGTTACTCCTTACAGACACAGCCCTTCTGCTGCTCCCTTCCTAAGAGTGTTTTTCTCTCTTGCTGTTGCAGCCATGCTGGGGTTTTTAGTGTTCTCCTCCTGAACCCAGGTGGGTAACAGAGCCTTCCACAGCAGTAGCTTGCACTCCCATCCTCTGGTCTGCCAGCTTCTTTGTTTCCCTCTGACTTTACCTACTACCCTTTGTGGCTGATGAAATCTGCTTATTTTGAGTATCAACAGCCTCTTTCTCTTCACAGAAAATAGGGAACTCCAAAACTTCAGAAATAGCCCAGGCTGTCCCCATCATGATCTCTAAAGTTGTTTAATAGTTAATTCTCAAGTATTATTTTCCCAAGTAGTTAAAACACTTCATTTCCACTCCTGTCCTTTGAATGCAGAAATGTAAAAGCATGCAGAAATAAAAAAACAAACTTCACATCTCTTGCCTTTTTGTCCTGAAATTGTTCTTCACTGATGTTAGCATATGAAGAGGTCAGAAAAAAACTTATTTTTTAAAAATATAAGTCATCTCTGACACAATATACTCAGGTAAAGATAAACAACTCCCAGGTCTTGCAGTAACTGAGCAATCTGATGGAAACATGAAAACTGCAGAGAGCTTTTAAAGAAGTTGTTTGTAGTTTAATTTTGATTCTCTCCAAAACTGCAGAATAATTTAATACTAAAGGATCTCATCCATATTGCAATGAAATCAAGAGAGAATTTCTTGTACTCATTGGTGGATTTTAGGTACAACTGCAAGTATGGAGCAAAATGAGATGTTCAATGTCTCAAGCTAAATCTCAACAACCAAAATTGGGAGGAATATTTTTAATTGTTTATAACCATAACATTATTATGCTTAAGATTCCCATGTCTTGTTTCATTGTTTTTAAAAGAAGCAGAGAGTGTTCTTAAAAAGCCCTGCTGTTAATGATCATGTGCAGGGATCTTGCAAAATGCAGACTATCTAAAATATCCCTTTAAACCCCAAATAATAGTGTTTTAGCATTTGATTGATTTATTTAGCTTCACTGTCCTTATGAGTAATCCATACTGCTTTAAAAGCTTAACAATCAAATAAAAAAAATTATGATAATCAACTAAATACCGAACCACTGGTGTAAACAAACTTGTACAAGCATAGCTCAGATCTAGGGAAAGATGAAATGCAATCCAGGAAGTAGGGGACTAGTATGTCTAATTTATTTTTCTCTCTTCATGGGCAAGGTAGAAAACCACAAAAGATGTTTAGAAGACAAAGTAGTAGTTTTTTCTTCTGCTCTCCATTTTCTTGGCTGTAAAAGAATGACAATCAAAATATGGACTGACATTTACAGAACTGAGAAAAATTTGGGTGAATACTTTTAAGTGCAAAAGCACACTTTTCATAATAACTAATTTGATGAAAATGAAACTACGTAAGTATTTTTATGAAAGGAAGATAACTGACATCACAACACTGAGTGGAAGCAAAAGTTATTTCTAATACTCCATAAACTGTTTGCATCTGTGGATGTCCAGTGGCAGGATGTGCAATAAATGATTTCAGATTTTTACTTGTTTATTTTTGGGAGCACTTTGCAGATGAGACTTGAAACATTCTCATCAAAGATAAGGCGGACTATGGTCCTGGGATGCTGTACAAAACCATTCTTCCATTTTTGGAAAGAGACACAGCATTTTCAAAAGGCAAAGTGACAGGTTGATAATGGTTTCGTTCAGAAATCACAGAGAGATGAAGCATGTCAGAGAGGCGTGCTTATTTCAACAGGTCCTGATTTAAAGCAGAGGGAAGCTGGGGGCTGAGCAGCCCAGCACCTACTCCTGTGGGACACGACAGTGCCTGTGTTGGCATTCCAGCTCTTGTTCCTGGACAAAAAGGAGCTTTCACTTAAACTGAGAGTATTGAGTAACAATCCCCCACACAACACAACAAACCAAACACAACTGCCTCAGCAAGGCTCTGTTAAAGCACGGGAAATTTGCCATGCCCCATGATTTTTCATTTTTATGGGAGTAAGATTCCATCATCAATTACAAAGTAGAGCAGCAAGAAATCTATGTTTTTATTTAGCAGCTGCTATTGTGCAGGATAGACACAGCTAAGGTAGGAACAAAACCCCTTTTCAGTGTAAATAGGTATCTGCAGAAGATAAAACATAGAATCAAGATACAAAATATAAGAAGCAAAATCATGCCTTTTCTACAGCCCTAATATGGCTACAGCCAGTCTTCCTTACCTCTTACAAATTCCTCTGCTTGTGCTACTGCAACTTCTCCCTGCTTCTTGGCATATTTGAAGAAGGATTTTCATAAAGTCATTCTTTGACCTTCCCATGTGCTGCTCATTTAGACTTTCATTCCATAGGCAGCAAGTCCAGTAGGGGTCAATGAGGACCACAAGCATTAAAAACCAGAGTGCAGCTTAGTATGCCTTGTTACAGACCTGGAATTTTTATTATGCTAAACTAAGCATTTAAATATTATGCCTCAGAGGTGGTATAAAAGGCCATAATAATTAATTTTAATGTTATAATTTAATTAATACATATCATAGCCTACCAGCTATGTTTTCCAACGTCTCATAACCTTTGTGAAAATGATACATTATTAAGCAGAGGAGCACAAGACTCAGAGCAGGTTAACAGTGCAAATGAGTTTTTGCTGCCAGAAAGACTGTTAATGATCTACTGTTTCCTAAACTGAAAGTCACTACTCCATCCTCTGAATGCATACTCATTTCAGAGCAGGCAGTGTAAGATTTGGGACCTGGTCATCACTGTGCAATACAAACCTGTGTCTGGAAGACAGCTGTCTACTTTACAATACAGGGAGATGCATGCATCTCTAAAGGTATTCTAAAAAATACCTAGCAGATATTCAGCTAGAAATGTCTGCAATGATCAAAAGCCAAATTAAATAGAAATTTACGACTGGGCCACCACAATCCAAGTGTGAATACTGTAAGCAGTGGTAGGAATGTCCTAGAAGTAAGCAGCAGATACTGGCCAGCTCCTGTGTGGTAAATTTTTCACATTTGAAAAGATGCATGTGAAAAAGATATGCTGGGGACCTACAAAAGAAAAGTGGTTGGGATCAAAACGGTGAATAGAATTATTTCTTACAATAAGGGCAATGAATTAAATTAAATTAATAGAGAGCAAACTGGAAACAAAGAGATTTATTGGGGTTTTTTTATGCAGAATTAACTGAACTGGAGACTTTGGACTTCAAAATTCAAAAGAGGTAAGAAAAATAGGTGAGATAAAATCAGAGTGCTGCCTATTGCTTAGGCCAGTGCTGCCTATTAAACAGGATAATCCAAATGCAGTTTATATGGGAGGAAGAGTTAATAGCTATTTTTTTGTTTGTTTCCTATTGTTGGAAATATCATTCTGAGATGTTTCATTAGCTATACATGAGTTGAAAATAAGAAGTTAAATGTATTGATTGAAGCCACTACAGAAAGAAAATGAAGCACATTTGTATTTTTGTCAGTTAAGAGCAGTGATACCACACAGCTGAGGAGTGTTTTGAGTAATGAACCATGAACTATTTTGTCATCCCATATCCTTCCCTGTTGTAGCACAATAAAGAATAAGTTCTAATTCTCAAACCTGAACTTGTTGCCTAGTCCACATTGATAGTGAAAAACATAATCAAGACTAATTTGATGAAACAAATTGGTTTTGATTAAACAATGTTATGTAGAAACACCAAACAAATTAAAGCACTATTTTCTAGAGTTGCATTCCTCTCTAAGTGCTGGTAGAGACTGAATCTGAGTGTGCAATATATCATATTTAAATTCACTTCTGTTAATAATTTCATCAAAAATACACAGAGACTGGTAAAGAGTAGGCTAAAGGGGGACACTGACAGTGGCTGTCATGGGTTTGTTAAGTAGAAAAGCAGGAAATAGCCAGACCTCCCTTCTTTCACATTTCTCCCATGCACAAGGGACAGAGAAGAGGTATCTTTTTCCCATGGCAAAAAACCAACAAAATAAATTCTAAACTACCTCCTACACTTTCCTGAGAGTTAAAACCCTAGTTGCATGCTGACCAGCTCTTGGCTCTTCACAGTTACCCACTGTCAACTCCAAAATCTGTAGCAGATTAAGAAAGCACAAGTTGAGGACAGCCCAAAGTAAAGAGAATAAGAATTATGACAAATATTGCAGAGAATATAATTCCCTTTTTATTCGGTGCTTTGGCAGAGTTTCCATTCTGAGATGCTAGAAGAACAGAGAAAAAAACCCAGAGGAATCAGGGAGAACTCATATTAAAATACAGTGCACCTTGATTTGAGCCTTTATGATCTCTTCAAAACACAACTCTGCAAACAGAGTGCAAGTATAAAGTGTGGTTTGAGGAAAAAAAAAAACAAACAAAAAGTAAGAATATATCACACCAGTCAATCTCTATTTCAGGAAGTGAAGCAAAGTCCGCAGCAAAGTGGGCCTCCCAGAAATACTCTGCCACCCACAGCATTGTGTAACCTTCCTTTGGTGTGAAACATGGCTGGGCTTAGCTCCTGCTAGCAGCAGTTAGCTAGACCCCATGCAACCTTGCTGAAAGTTAAAGAAACAACAAACAAATGCTGTTATTTCCCTCCCTCTGCAAAAGTGTGTCTGATTAAACTCCTTTTACAAAGCCCTACAACAGCAGAAATGAGTCCTGCAGTTTCTGATAGGAAAACTGCTGGCTCCACACCCCACCAGAGGGAATGGAAAGGCCAATTTGCTTGAGAGCTGTTCATGTTTTGGATCTTGCCTCTTTTTGGAGCTTTTGACCTTTATTGTCCTACTTTATTATCTGGGATTTTTTACCCATTTCTCTTATTTTCTCCCATCAGCCAGTTTTCTTTGTTTCTTTCTACTCACAGTTTCCAAAACTGAACAAACAAGGACTGGACATGGTCAGGTAACGAAACTCAATACTTGAAAATAACATTTAGGCAAAACTCACACAACAATTACCGCTGATAATGACTATACCACATCATTTTAAATTTGGCTGCCACCATAGTAAGTCTTGCATATAGACCATCCCACTGCACTACCTCAAACCCGATACTTTCTAAGCATATCTGCATGGGCTATTTCCTGGCAGAGTAACGGCTGCCTTAAAACTATTGACTAAGCAAAGTAGGCCTAGAAGAGAGCACATTATTTGACATTATTTATCCTGCTCTCAGGATATTTGGTTGGATTTTTTCTTCCCTATTCCTTTGAGGCCACAGCTTCCCACCGCTGCCGCAGCAACCGTTCATCTGCTATTGCTTTCTTGCTTTCTGAGCAGGGCTGGTGGCAGGAAGCCACAATTGCTCCTCGTGTTTATCTCTCCCCATCTCACAGTCCTGACAGAGTGAGTCTATTTGGATAGCAAGAAGCTGTGGTAACTAAGCAGCCACAAAATTTAAAAGGGACATTTCCAGCTACTTGCATGCCTAAGAGTAAGTGCAAAGCAAGTCTTTTATAATAAAACAAATATATTTTTTATTGTGAATGGAATGAGAAAAACAAATAGCAGGTTTTGTGTGGGTGTTTTACTTACATTATCTTAAACTAAATCTTCCTGCTTAAGAATAAAAAACTCTTCATCCTAGAGATGTTTTCTGCTGCCAAGCATATTAGCAATAATTTCATATTCCAGTTAGAATCTTTACGTATTTCATTTTGAGCCTCTCTGTGAGAAGTTCAGAACCATGCACAGCCCACGTTCCTTTTTTCTCTAGAATGTAGCTCCCATTTCCTGAGGGAACCAAACAGCCAGACCCACTTAACCCCTTCCTGGAATATTTAACACCCTGCCTCTGGAAGAACTGTTTCAACCAAATAGAGAAAACGTTTGAAGGGTAGGTCTAAAATGCAATCTTCAAACTCAGACCTCAGCTTTCCCAAAGGAAGTAGTGCTCAGATCTAGGACTGGTTCAAGGTCAGCCAGTGAGTCAGGAGTAGGATCAGTGCACACACAGGGATCAGCATGCTCCCAGTCCTGCCTCCTGTGCTTGGACTCCTTCTGTTGTTTTTGTATAGAAAACAATGACCTCTCCAAGAAAGACTAACAGAATGGTGATGAGACTGCTAGCAGTAGTTATCCTTCCAGATGTGTCACTAGAATTAAAGACAAAATTTTTCATCAGTGGTGCTCCTGAAAAGTAAGATTTGATCCTGTAAACACCATCAGAGATTTCAGGTCTTCTCCTCATGCACAGTCCAAGGGTTTGATGAGATCAGGGTGCAATTTTTACATTTCAAGCACCATTACCTTTAGTGGACTTCCATTATAGACAATGAAAAGCACATTTTAAAGAAGGGGCTAAGCCTGCATTTTTGCAAAGATAAACACTGCCTAATCTCTGCACACACCGGTCCTCTGGACACCCTGCTGCCAGTGCAGCCCTGCTGGTCAGTGCCTCTGCATGGGGTGAGGGCTGGTTTGAGGAGGTTTGTGCTCCTTAGTTTTTCCAAATGATGGGCAAGATTTGCCAGTGCATTCTGTCTGCCTTTTACTGCTTCAGGGATGCAGAGCGGTCATAAAGTTTAATTGCTCAATTAAGCAGACTTTACAGTTGCTCTGTGTTGCTGGAGTGCCACAAAGCAGATTGAGCAAACTAGTGAAGCTGGATCATTACTATGTTGAAACCAAGACACGCATATTTGTGTGTGAGAGCAAAACATTCAATACGTGGGCTACAGTATCCTAAATACAGAAGTGGGTATAGGTTGTATAGGAAAGCACACGTTCCAGTGCTGTGGAGCGAGTTACAAGCAAGAACCCTAATCCCCCTGATCTCTTCACAGGATGGCAGAGGGAGCCCTCAGTGTGCCAGTCGAGCTGGCACAGCCAGGGTTGGGGCTGCAAGATGGAGGGGAAACACAGCAGCTGGGGCTTCCTTCCACTCTCCTGGGGCAGCAAAAATAACCTTCTGTGAACGAAGCACAGGAAAAGAAAAAAAAAAAAGCACATAAGCGTCTATAACAATTTACAAGTGGAGGAATCTAAACTCTCATGGGGAGTGGAATTCAGTGAAGGCAGCTGTAGGTGAGGGCTCAGACCAGCTCTGCTTCTCATCATCTGCTTGTCCTTTACCAGCTCCCTTTGGCAGCCCCACAGCTTTTCTCCCCACCCACCACTGGTGGGTTCCTGTTTCTTTTCAAGCCTCCTGGTTGTGGGTGACGCCAGATGCGTGTGCCTAAGGAGAGAAGGACAGCAAATACTTTGGGGCTGTGGAGGCCTCTAGAGACAATTTCACTACAAATAAATTCTTCAGTTATCTTAATGCCAGCAGGCATCTCAGTAAAAATGGTTTCATGTCCAAGAATGATGCCTGCTTACTTCCAGGTTAGTAGATTTTTTCTTTATTAACAAAGCAGTTTGCTGACAATGTAAACTACTGGCTACAGCAGTGCTGCTCAAATTGCCAGCTACAGCTACTGAAGGAGCCATGGGACAGTTCAAACGGGCTGTAGCTCACAAAGAGTTAATCAATGTGTAATATTTTTATATTAAAGCCAGTAAGTATTTTTTTTGGTAAGTGGGTGTTGTGCAGGGCTTGCAGAATTTTCAGAAACAGACAGATAAAAAAGCAAGCCATGCTTGAAAAAACAAAATAATATAAAATTGTGAAATGGGTAACACCACCAATTTCCAGCTCAGACCCCACAGGATGGTGCCCATTTGGTGAGGCACTGCCTGTGCTGGGGTCATGCTCAGCTCCTGACTCTTCCCACCTCATGTCCTCCTGCTCCCTGACAAAGTCACTTTGAAAAGCATTGCTTCTGGGATCCACATTGAAGTTTATAGCAATATTTTTTCAAGCATTATTTTTGAGTTCATGACAGTAATACAAAGCTGATTTCTAGTTGTTCTTTAGTACAGGTAAGTAGTGACAAATTTGAGTTAGTGCAAACACACATCACTGTAAGCTCATCCACTATGTTTAAGCTGCAGGTCTTGCTGGGTGGTGAGGGAAAAGCTATGGGAACATTAGCATTCACCCCCATGGGAGCTGGCATCAGTGCCAACCCGGTGTGCTCCCGCTCTCCATTCAAGGACACTCACAGCTACGTTGGGCTGCACACTAGCCGGATTTGCCCTCCTCATCTCCTGCCACCCACACACATTCAGATCAGCACTGAGTCTGCTCCAGGCTGCTTGTCACAAACCTCTAACAAAGCAAAGAGAGGCAAAGGGATAAAGGGTAAGGAGACAATTAGCAAGGAGGGAAGAGATGGAAGGAATATGTATGTGGAGTGGAAAACGCTTGAATAGATCATTGACTATGGTTTTCAGTTGTGTTTGAGGAAGCCCTCAGTAGAAAGCATTCTACAGGACTCCAAACAGATGACAGAAGTTGAAAAGTGTCACAATATTGTGTCCCTTTAAGTGAACTGATTTCAAATCTAGAACAACTGGAGGTCTGATCACTAGATGGTTATGCAAGAGTCATATGTGAAATCATCAATTGGTCCTTATAGAGTAGCTCGAATGAAAACCTCTGCCCAGCCTTTCCTCTGGAGAGGTAATGCAGTAATAGCTGAAAGAAAATGCAGTTCAAGATTAATTTTTCATTCTCAGAACATCCCATAAAGTGGCAGTTTCTTTTGGACATTTGGGAAAGAAACACTGCATACATTCTTTAGAGTAGTGTTACATTGTTTGGACCAGAGCTACCTATGGAACAGTTGTCACATCATTACTCAGGCATGTATGCCAACAAATTTGAAATCCAAATTCGCAGACATTGACAGGAACATGGAGAATTTAGATAAAATGTGCATTTCAAGCTCTAAGCAGGCAAGACTGCACTGACATTGCTCTATACAAAGCAAGATTTCTGTTGCTACGGTTTCCAAACGGCCTCATTGTGAGCAATCAATAAAGGCACTGAATGAATTGTTAAATTAAAACTGCAGCTCCTGATGCTGAAGGCAAGGACTCTGTGCATGTTCAGTCACAACTATAGGTTAGTTTATTTAAGTCTTTGTATTCAGAGGATTTGATCATTGCATAGAGGAAATTCATTCATGTATAGCCTGAGATCACACAGAGATGGTCTCTTTTTCTTTTTGCACAAATGATGGCTTGACTTTTGTGCTGTTGAAAGGCAAATATCTGTCAAGATCATGACATACAACTAACTGCAGAATATTTTGTTCAAAATGATAAATCACATTTTAGTATTTTATTAAAGCACTATTAATACTATTTTTGTTACACATGAACTGTATGAATGACATTTCAAAAATTAATACAATACAGAAAATTTCAAGTTCTCTACGATTTTAGTGGAAAAGGTATAAAAAATTGAAATGTTCATTCAAATTGAACATTAACAGATCTGAAACTGGATACTGTCTATGGATACTGCTCGATATGAAGAGGCAAAAATATATAATTACCATTAAACAGATTTTGGGATGATGGAAGATTGTGAAAAATTATGTTTGTGGCTTACCTATCTAACATACTGCTGACCATGGAATGGATTTACATGATGCAGATTATATCAGACCTTTTTTTCAAAATACTTTAACTCTTAAAATAAACAACTAGCAACTGAGTCCAGAATGCATAATAAACAGATTTGAAGAGCTTTTAACCCCAATCTTAAAAAAAAAAAAGAAAAAAGGAAAAGTGCTTATATAAGAATAACTAAGAATAACAGTTCAGAGCATCTTTAAATCAAATGGAATACATTTTTTAAACCCTTAATACCCTGATGTATTTGTTCCAAGCACAACACTGGCGTGTCTGGGAGATACTCAACCCATTTGCTTTCAAACCCCTTAAAATAATGAAATTGGTAAAACAGAAAGGTTCATTCCCCTTGATACAGACAGCATGCTGGATGGAAAAGAAATGTTCCAAAGATTTCCAGTGATAATGAAGAGAAGTCCTAATTACAAAAGGTAGAG